GCTTTTATTTCAGTTTTAATTTGAGTTATTTTAGTACAACAAGTTAAGCTAGATTTAAATGAGAAAAGTTGCCTTGGCAAGCTGAAAAAGTTTCCTTTTTTGTTTTATTTTATTTTACTAAGTTTGTTTTATTTCAAGCAAATGGGTCAAAAACACTCTAAAGTTCAGTTAATTGCATTTAATATAAATTTAAACTATTTTAATTAAATTCCAGATAACATTCAGTTAAGTGTCTGAAAACATTACAGTCAGTTCACACTTAAGTATATTATTTCCATAGTAAGTGCTCTTTTTTTAACAGTACGCTAAAGTGTACATTTTCAGAAGGGTAATGCCTATAGCTTTAGGACTTGAGTTAGCTTAGAACAATTTCTAAACGTCTCATTTCAGGAGTAGTTTAGGTGTAATAAGGTTGTTTTGTAAGGATGACGTGTTCCTAGATCTTCATCCGTGTTGCAGCTAAAGACCAGCCTGGTGTTTGGGCTTCAACAGCATTTATTTGAACCTTTAATTTGCTGCTGATTTATGGGGAGTTGATTTGTTAGGGTTGGGACTTTGTGTCTTTGACAGCAATATTGAACAAGTGATGCAATGCTACATTTCTCTAAATCTGATGAAGAAACAAACTCATCTACATCTTGGATGGCCTGAGGGTGAGCACATCTTCAGCAAATTTAAATTTCATTCCTCTGAACACCAGTAATTTCTTCCAATAACTCTTCGGTTCAAGTAACAAACCCAACTCTTTTTCTCTCTCATCATTGTGGATTGCAGACTATTTGAAATGTTTGCATGCTAATGATTTCCAGACTAGTCCGGGTCGTTCAGAGAGTCATTGTGCTGTGGAGACTGACGCATGATAACGGTCAGTGTTAGTCATTCTCAGTCCTTTAGGTATTTGTGAGGATTCAAACAGTTGTCCACATTCTCCATTTACTGCCAACATGGGAAAAAATGGAGAAGGAGATTTCAATAGCCTTTTGAGTATAGTTTCCTTCAGAAGAATGGTGGACATGGAGCCAAGTTAATCCAGAATCCTCTAAAACTGAACACACCACCATTAAAACGGGTACATTGAGAGCCTCGAACCCTTTGAACACTGTTGATATGTTTTACAGCAGTGCCTTAAATATCTCAGGATATATAAGTCTAATTCTTTTCATCCAATTAAAGGGGTCATATGACGTTGCTAAAAAGAACATTATTTGGTGTATTTGGTGTAATGAAATGTGTTTATGCGGTTTAAGGTTCAAAAAACACATTATTTTCCACATACTGTACATTATTGTTTCTCCTCTATGCCCCGCCTTTCTGAAACGCGTCGATTTTTACAAAGCTCATCGGTCTGAAAAAGCGA